ATTCAAGTCCGGTGCAAAAACGCATGATCGCACGGGCCCGCCTGGTGCGTTCCAGCCTGGGTTATTTTTCAACCTCATGTCTTTTGCTTTTCAAACGCAAAGAAAAGAGCTTGAAGTTTTAAAAAGGTTATTAGCTTCATGAAAAATAAGAAATAAGCCGTTTATTTCCAGCTAGCTTTGCGTCTTGTCCCTTGACCTTGGGTCTGATTTTGGGCAAGGTACGTGGTTCTGGAACCAAAAGCGATACAAGCTTGAAATTTCGGGGACTAGTTCCGTACCATGTAAGAAGCTAGAAATCTGAACATCAATTTTTCAGGCAGCTCTGTACTCTAGCTTTTGAGCCCAGCTCTAAAACTAGTTAAATTTTTCGGAACAAGAGCTAAGGAAATACAAGACTAGTATTTCGGAAGTTCCTGACTCTGAACGAAGCCATAGCTAAAAACTAAAAACCAGCTCCAAGGTCGTTCTGTTCCCCGATATCTTGTCCCAGTCCCAAAATTACTGCAAAATTTGTATTCCAAAGACCGAAAAAGACAAAAGCAAAAAATTTTTTGAATCAAGCCTATAATCGAGAACATGGCGCCAAGCCTAATTAGTTATAATTTTTCTGTGCTTTGACATATGACTACAGGTCGGACAAAAGACAACTATGAAACTCGAAATCTAACAGTTTAGTTTTTTACGCGTCTTAATCTATGTTTTTATATCCTCTCTGACAAAGCCGCAGAATCCGGAACACAACCACTTTTGGCATTGTATTGAGAACCACTTGCTTTCATAAGCTCTTATTGGTTTTGGATTAAGTTAGCGCAAAATCGCACAACTGCACCATCACTTGTTGCGTAGCTATACATTATTAATGCGCCACATAGGTTGAAATTAACCGGAGTCGCGAAATTTTCGAAAGCAAAAGTCTCATGTCGGTCCCCAGCTGCTGAAATATGTGAAAACAAATCAACAATTCATATGTTCTGGCTGTGCAGCGCTAGCGCATATTGCGACGACCCCTTGTGTGAGTGTGTGTATATGTGGGTTTGTGTGTGTGCGTGTATGTGCGTACGTGTGTGTGCGTGTGTGCGTTTGTTCGGATGTTTCAACTCGGCAGCCACGCAAGCTCCGGAGCCCAATTTCTGCCAGCTGGTTTCCCGACCAAGTGCCACCCCAGGACTGCGGCACCAACCCTCACGCACGTCTTGTCCCCGCGTACGACCATGTAAAAGTTTTAGCGGGGAAATGGCCAACTCTGGAATCAGAAATGCTGGGAGGCTGAAATTTTCAGGTGATGTTACCGGCCAACGTACAACTTAAAGATTTCAAATTCAGTTCCCAGGCGCGCGTGGTTCTCAAGTTCGCCTCCGTGGAACTTTTTGGGAGGGGGGCGGGGAAGAGAAATCGCTAGCTCGGGAACCAGAGAACCTGACAGGCTGAAATTTTGAGAGGATGTTCCCCGTTCGCATGGAACTCAAAGATTTCAAATTTAGCCCCAGGCATTCGTAGTTCTCACGTGCGGCCCCGCGAGAACTTTTGGCGGGAAAGTTGGCTAACTCGGGAACTAGAAATACTGGAAGACTGGAATTTTCAGGGAATGTTCTCGGTCAACGTACAACTTAAAAATTTCGGATTCAACCCCCCGCTACGCGTGTTATTTAAGTACGGCCCCGTGAAAGTTTTGGGAAAGCGGTGAGAAAGAAAATCGCTAGCTCGGGAATCAAAAAAGCTAGAAAGCTGAAATTTTAACAGAATGTTCCCTTTCTAAGTACACGTGGTAGTTGTACGACTAACTTCCTAAAACTCGAGGACTAGTATGTCATAAATTCTAGCGATGGTGATTCTAAGCGGTCTTACGACAGCACGAGATACTGCAAAAACACACGATCGCACAAGCCCGCCCGGTGCGCGTCGCCAGTGATTTTATTCACAGTTCAAGATCTAAAATCCTCGAATATCTTTGAAATTGCAAAAATCTTTTATGCATCTATAAATTTTTATTCACAAGTGGCCTTTGCAGTAAATTCTGACTTTAAAAGAAAACGCTATTTAAACAGAATGACAATAAGATGAAGAAACCGTACTTATGTGAATTAACAGCAAGCAGAGACGGGTATCACAAGACTAAAGGGAAGAAAAGTTCCGCACAGTGTATTATTGCATCTTAGTAACATAGGGGATGTCATATGCCGAGAGTTCTCCAGATTTCGTCAGTGCTTCTAACGGGTTCCTCTTCTTAGGATTATTTTAATCATTTCTTACGGGGATGACGCATTTTTGCATGCAAATTCCCGGAAACTACAGTCACTGCACATTTCACTAAACGAGAAAACAGCACCCTTCCGTAACTGAATTGGTTTTACTTTTTATACAAAAACTATCACAGCCTGTTTCCGATGAGTACTCGTTACAAGACCTGTTTGAAAAGCAGTCTAAGAGTTGTCACAAATCTCTGCATCCAGGAATACCAGTGCCAAGTCGCCATTGAATTAGATCACTGAACTCTATAAGCGACTTCAAGCAAAAGCATGGAGCGTTAAAATAACATTACACACAACGACATGAGATTGCACACTGAACTCTATACAAACACGCAAATAAAATAATGAAAAAGAAATAGAAACTATATATATAGTAATATACAGTACAATTGACAAAAGAGTAACACGGAACACACCTGCTTACATGCCACTGCTACTTATACACAAACTATTCCATAATAATGATAATATTAATAAAAGGCAAAGTTTTAGCAAAAGAAAAGTTGAGACAACAGCGGGTTGTAAAAGACAGCAATAAATTTGACTGAATTTAAAAACTTTTTGAAACATAAACTTTCGCGCCAATTTTCTAGTTTTAAGAACCCTGTTGTTTAAAAAGATCCCTAAGATACTCTGGCCGATCACAGAAATTTATTGCTTTCGACCTTTTGGCTTCACTGAAAAACTCAATTTGTGTGTTTGAAATTTGTCACGTGTGGACTTTTCATCACTATAGCTACTAAATACTGTTAACAACGGACCGAGAAAGGAGTGGAGGGAGTGCAAAAAAGGCTAATTTGTCCAAAGCCGTACACAGATTTGCCAAATTACGAAACAGTGCAGGGCAAAAGAATGAGGTGACTCGTGCTGGAAAGCGAAAACTTATGCAAAAGAAAGAAACACTGCACATAGTGTTATAATGCGGAAAAAAGCACAACAAACAGGACGGATGTCAATATGGCTAAGAGCCCCTCAAATTTAACTAGGCTTCCCCTTCTGTCGTCAAAGGGAGCGAACACCACTGACCTATTTATGACCAATTGAAAATCATTATGCCCCACTGGCAAATGATGAGAAGTGGAGAAATCACTCCACTCCTCCGGCAAATTAATTGACCCCACTGGCAAACTTCATTTTTGTGTATCGGGAGATGTTCTGGCAAAGCTGCGCTAGGCGAGCTGAGCTGCAGTACATAATGGTCATGTTTTGATTCGGGTCCTTTTAAAGCAGCGAGGGATGGTTGTAATTGAAGTTAGATGAATACTGCAAAGAAAAGAAATACTGAAGGGCAAGCACTATTATGCTTGGCTGTAGAAATCCCGATATGGGTTGCACTCCGAGACATCGCCTAGTCGAGTGATGTTCTGCCATACGCCGCAGCAGTTCAAATGACTTTCTGCCGGCTTTGTTGCCGCATTGCGCAAAAATGGTTGTACATAGCACGGTGCAGTAAAATGTGTTGTTGCGAGTTCTTTGATTGCAGTATACGTCACTGCAGCACTGCCAACTAATCCAAATCCTGGAACTCACAGGAAACTGAGGCTCAGCTTAGATGCAAAATAGATTTTTAACTGGTTATCCTTGAGAAAATTAAATATTATGAAGAGGTCATATTTGCGACGTGTGTGTCTGCACGTGTGTGTAACTACGTCTGCCTGGAAGACACCATAACTATGCATTGAGATTTTCCTAAACTCCTGTCTTGTGACTACTTACAAAGCCGCAAATCTTAATCTAGCTTGAATGCTTTTTCCTGTTTTGGTGTTACTTCGATATCTGTCTAAGTCAAACGCGAAAAAAGCATTGAAGTCGGATAATTCCGAAAGCACAGCTCAAAACACGTGTAGGATTTGAAAGCAATTTCTGAAGGGTGCCTTAAACTCAGGATCTAAGATGAAAAGTAGGCCCATTTTCAAGTTTTAAACAAGACACCATGCCACTTTAACACTCCGGTTGATCGGAAGAAAAATGTAATTTGGAGAGTTCAGGTCTACTTCCATCCTTTTACTTTTGGGCCAGCAATGTAACAGATAATTCAAATTTATTTCGAAAAGGGCAAACCATAAATTCGGACATAAGCGCATATAAACTCTGTAGGATAAAACTGTTGACTACGAGACGTAGTCTTTTGTATGAACTGGCGAATTCGCTCGCTGCGCACCCATAAAAGCTATTCACAAAAACACAACACTGCGTTAATTTTGCATTGAGCACCACTACTCTACTGGTAAGTTCTCCAGAAAACCGTGAAATTTATTGTATCATAGCAAGTACTTCATATGATTCAAAATATTTGCCATTTTCTTGCAAATTCGATTAGGCCTTTCTCTGCACTTAACTTTGTTTTTCCTTCCAACTTCGTTCCCCTCCTCCCCTCCTCAGTAGCGTTTCAATTATCACATCTGGAAATAATGCTAATTCCGGAGTGTATATATTCAGCGTTTGTCTATTCGCTGGTATTATTTTAGGTCGCACTGGAACTTGGATGGTCATGTAACAACATTAATAAGCAAGCGCTGGGAGGAAATACAAAGATAAATTGCAAGGGGCCGAAAATTGTTGGCACTTGTCCAAAACTATCTGTTTCATTGGTCAAAAGCTCATGGTTTTTGCGGATACATACACACACACACACACCAGTTAAAACTAGTGCGTATTTGTTACCATTGCTACGTTCACTAACTGCAACAATTTTCTACTAATTTGTATAAATTAAACATTCCAGCAAAATTTATAACATTTTTGCGAACATATTCACAGACAGCTTCGGGCAAGCACTTAGTGAAAAAATTTTGCCCTTACCGACCTGACTTGTCGTACTTTTTTTCGCTCAGATATTTTTGGCAAGCCCTAAACACTTCAAAGTACGCCACAGTCCAAAAACGCGGCGATGCAATTCAAACCTTACCAATAATTAGTAGACATATAAGGAGGCGCAGCTTTGGTGTCCGTATCAATACACTGAAAAGTATAGTAATAGTGTGAAAACTGACATCAACAGCAATGACTGTTCTCTCACTTGAAAAAAATAAGAGAACAATTTTTTACACTCCGGCAAGGTCGAAAATTTTCAAATGAATAAAACCACCTTAAATTCACCATTTTGTAAATAGCGATGCGCACCAGAAGCTGGTGCGATTATGCGTTTTTGCTATAAAATTCTGCAGATTGTGCGACAAGAAAATGCGACAAAATTTCAGATTCATAGCTTGCTTCGTCTTAAAATCAGAGTACCGCTTCATATTTGAAGTTCTGGTCAAAGGTGGATTCAAAATCTGCTTTTAAATCATTCTGCATGCATTTCGCTTTGAATCTTCACAAGAAATTGCGTTTATAGCTCGCTCGATTCCAAATATATAAAAATTCTGTCATGAGGTCACTGCGAATGCAGGACTATTCTTGAAAGAATCAAGATTTTTCACTCCACACACGCCCCAGAATGCTAGCCTCGTAATTTCAATTTTACAGCCCTTTTGATTTTCTAGTTGTGAAATTTGACTGAATTTTGCCCATAAGTCTATGCTGAAAAGTCGAAAAACTTGAAGCTCACGCAGTCTTAAATTAGCTTCCAATGTTCTCGAGTTAAAAACATGGAAATCTGATTTGAAGTTAAAAATCAGGACGTAATAAGATATAAAAAATTGTCTGGGAGCGTGTCCTCAAAGTTTCAGCTCTGTAACACGTCATGCTCAGGATTATGCGGCTAACCATATATACACATGCATACAAGTGTGTTTTCACCTTAATACGCTTATTCTACATCAATGATGGATACATAAAAATTTAGCCAAATTAATAGCCGGTCGACACAGCTTCTAACTTTTGTTGCTAAATGTTATCAAAAATGTCAGGAATAGATGAGAAGAAAAAAGTGGACAATTCGCCAGCTACATTTATCTCGGTCAAGAAGCAAATACGTGCCACAATCTCCAGATGTAGACTGCACTATTCAATGACTAAAATTTGCTATCGACGATACCATCGTAGTGTTAGACTGAAGTGACCGTGTTCATCTCCTCTTTGCAACTGTGTTGAATGTAACAACACATGGATAGCCATTCGGACGACTTTCAAAAAAGTGATACATACACATCAAACGGTAGTGGGCGTACTAGCTTAGAATCGGCAAAACAACATCCGGCGTACGTATGCAACATGTAGATCCCTATACCAATTATCCACACCATCTTGGTATATCTATATGACAAGAAAACACTGGCATCACACAAGAATGATAGGCAGCTGTCCAGTCTTCTCTATCGCCTTCTGTTTTTACCAGTCAGATATGCCAGTTATGTAGTGAATGTAATAAAAAACAGTGACTAACTCGATGAATGTAGGCATTACATTGCTGTTGTTTTTCTCGCCTTTTTCCTGCGCCATATCATCCGCAACAGTTAAATACATATAAAAGAAGCATGGGAAGACAAGCGAAGTAAGAGTAAGCGTGGAACCTCCAACTAAATCCAGTAATGGACCGAATGTCGGCAAACTTTCTGCTACAAATACAATGGCTAACATCATTCCCGTCCGAACCAATACTCGCTGCCAGCAAAAATCTAAAAAATCAAAATTTTTCTGCTTTATCTTTTTTCGGGCAAAACTGGAATAAGCAAAGTTCCAAGCATCCTTGAATTTCGGAGAAAAGCAAAGTACCCTGAAAAATAAGGAAAAACGGAAAAACAGACTGTCGAAATATGGTATTTTAACTCGTACTGAAAGATCTTTATGTCGTCTCCCTCCCTATTATGGCCTAGAATTAGCACGACATCTTTCTCCTATTATGGCCTAGGATTAGCAAGTTTGACTACACAGGGATATTTCAAAACAGTGTCACTAAATGTTTCGGCCGCAAAGTCCTGAGTCTGATAATCCTTTTTATGATTTTTGCATGTATGCAGTGTAACCCAGGCTGGAACGCACCAGGCGGGCCGGTGCGATTATGCGTTTTTGCACTTTTCGTGCCGTA